AATAGACATTCGGTGAATTTTTGTCGGTGAAATGTTATGTCTACGAAACTAGCGTCGGTGAAGTGATACGTATCCGTAAATAGTAAACGTTATACTGATTATGCCGATGTCAATAACATATCGAATCGGCGGAATAATCATTTGGTTAATTTTTTATCAGGTGTCCCAGGAATAATGATAACAGCTGTTAAAAAAATTTTTTTTTGAAAATTGGGTCGGTGGGTAATGCAAAACGAAAAATCAACTTTGCATGGCCTAAAGCAAGAAATAAATTCGAATGACTTAAATATATTATTTAATACTGTATATGCTAACCAAGATAACGTGAATGAATAGGGAATGATCCGATACCCTACTATGATCAGGAATATCAGATAATTATATAGTATTATTAGCAATGGTAAATCTTTATGAACCGAGTAAAATTATAATATTTGTTGTGCCTCAGATTAACACTTGCGTCAGATGTCAATGCATAGCCAGAATTAATATATCAGTCTAACCTTTAGCCTAATTCTGATCCTAGCTCTTATACTTACTACTACTATGTTAACACAAATAAATAAATAAGAACTATTGTAATTGTAAACATTCACGAATGTTAATGGAAACAATTGCCAAGGCTTCTATCGTATTTAATAAAATTTATTGTTGCATCAATAATAAGGCGACTTGAAATTAAAACCTCATTTAACGTTTTTTTTTGTATTTATAGGGGGGAGGGATGAAAATTAAACAAACATAAAAAAAATTAAACAAACATAAAAAAAATTAAACAAACATCAAAAAAATTAAACAAAAATAAAAAAAAATTAAACAAACATAAAAAAAATTAAACAAAAATAAAAAAAAATTAAACATAGTGTTTCGAGAAATCCCGAAAGTAAGCTGAAAAAGCCCAACTGCTATGCTGGCTATCATATCGATCAAACTTTCATTTCTATTTGTTTAATTTTTGGGGGAACCGGGAGATGGAGGGGGGATAACGTTAAACAAACTTTCAACTTCAAGCGGCCTAAGCAGAATGAATCTTACAACAATAAAGTTATTCATTTATATATATTGAGTTTTTATTATCGCCCATTAATCCTATGCCTTCTGTTTTGCTCCTATAATCAAGGCCTAAATATGTATTGGGCGTCCAATTTTGTTTTGATAGAATAACGTCTATTATATTTGTAAATTTATATTAATTATTCTAATAATCTTAATGTATAATAATTTTAGAGTAAAACTAAGATATAAATATACGTACTATTATGAACTATATATTTAGGTTTTGTATATGGCACTTCCTGTACAATCGCAAATTTTACTTCAGCAAAATCATTTTCATCCATTCCTAAACGTGCTTGAAGGCGTAACTTGGTTGCTGAAAAAAGCTCGCCCTATTTATACAAATATAAAATAAATTCAGTATATAATGTAAATTACATGAAAACGCATATATAATCAGAGACACTAACAGATTTAATAACAAATTTGAATGGGATTCCGTGTGTGTATGAAGGATTCTTGGTAAAATGATATACTTGGACAACTTTATCATTGCGCTTTTTTCCAATTTCTCCTTGAGGTATTTCCTAAATGCAAAGTAATTTATATTAAAAAGGGAATAAAAGAATCTAAAAGCTATAAAAAATATGAAAAAAACTAACCTCTGCATATAATGTTGCATTTTCTGATATTTTATCTATTGGACTGTTAAGTTTATTATATTCTTTTAAAATCTTGCAATTTGTAATTTCAAATAATCTAATTCTATTTGTGGGTTCTGGCAATGAAAGTTTTCGTAAAATGTCTTCTAAGAAATCATCAATTATAGCTTTCTTTGGAAGAAGAATATTAATCACTTCCTTTAAATAAATAAATAATTAATTAATTAATTGAATAAGCTAGTTAATACATTAATCAAAATATTTACCATTTCTTTTAAAGTCATTCCTAACCAATACACTTTAAAGTACATCATATTTTCTAATTCAACAATGCTAAAATCTAATATCTCATAATATATAAGATTTGCTGTGGTAGGTAAATATTGATATCCTACTGGAAGCATTGACTTTAATTTTAGATGAGGTTTTCTTTTAATGATAGTTCTAGGTGTACCAAATGTTATATGTGCTGATGTAAAACGTAATTTCAAAGGATCTATATTTAGATATACAGCAACATGGCTAGCAACCTATATATGAGAAAGTATGTTATTTTAAATAATTACTATAATAATTATCTTATAAAATTGTAAACATACAACATCATATGTATAATCCTTGTCTAGAGCTAATTTAAATTCAGATTTTTGTTTTTCATTTTTAAATTTTGGCCAGAATTGAACAATGATACGTGTAGATAATGACTTATAGAATGTAGGAATATCTCTAAAAGAAAAATAATTTATTAAGCAATAATAAATTAATAAAACAATAAGCAAAACTAGATTAATAAAAAATTTACATTTCTATAAATTCCTTTTGAAAACAAATTATATCACCATCTATTAAATTATTTGTTACTGCAACCATGTTTGTTCTTGTTTCCTATATTTTTTTAACAAAAGTATTATGAACAAGAATGAATATACATCCAAAATATATTAATATAAATAGCCTTACTTTGTATACTCGTAAAGGTGTATGTGGTGGAAATTCTTTTTTCTTGCATAGAATAGGAATAATATCATCAACTTCATATGGCTTTTGTATATATATATGACCAAGTCCTCTATAATATAAATATAACAAATATTTAATAATATTAAAAATAAATTAATAATAAAAGTAAT